CAAGTTCAAATATTTTTAGCATTTAATTTATATGCAATAAAAATCCTCTAAAAAAATACTCAAATATTCTATTCACACTGAAATTATTTTTAAATATCTTATTACTTAGCCGATTATTTTCAATTTTTCATAATTAATTTTTCTAGCGTCCCATCTAAATAATTCGATTGTAATTCTTTATATGGCAAAGTTGTGACGCACATATTGGTCAATTTGATAAGTCTTATGTAGGATGTACGCACGTATACCGGATATCCTATCAACCGCAGATACAGAAAGCCAAGCTATATAAAAATGGCTGTTTATCGAGCCATCATTAATTAAAAATAATATAGTGACTTAGCATCAACTATTAAAGATTCATCAACAGAGGCAAAATTATCCAGAACAAACCCATCTAGATCTGTACTGAGCAGGTACAATTGATACATCTATGTTAAAAGGAATATTCCAACATTCTTTATTCACGCATCACTACGTACGTATTACAAGCGGGCCGTTAATAGATATTAATAACGATATTTTTTGTTTCCCAATGTTTATTCCATACCCCAAAAAATAATTCAATTATATATAAATCAGAGAGATTATAACAAACCAAGTGATTTGTTTTCGTAATTTAAGCCGTTAAAAAGGGAGAATAAAAAAAAAGAGAGAAGAGTTTGCATCACCAAGATTTTCATCAATTCGAATTCGTGAAGCGTCGATGCTAAAATATCAATGGAAAGCTGTCGATAGCATCTCCAATATCGGAGTATCGGCGAGCGCGTCCCTGGCTGAGAGGACACCCCGTATGCAGAACGCAATTCCCGGCCGGTATATACACACACATATACATGCGCGCGCGCGCGCGCGCGGCACACACACACGCGACACAGAATCGATCGAAGGGCGTCACACGCGTACGGATTTAAAGGGTCAGCGGCTTAAATACTCGGCCGGCGATGTACCGTTAATTGTTAAGATCGTCTGCGTTCGTCCACCTCCGTCGCACAGGAGAAAGAAAATCCGTACCTATACACACGATCGTAATTCGTATACGCGTTCGATCGCGTTCGATCTTCCGACCGAGTCGTACTTCACGTCGCAACACGAACGACGTAAGCCCACGAGACACGTCTGTGCGCCGACCGACGAGACGACGAAGATAGGAAATGCGCTCCAGGCATATATATATGCATGCTCCTACAAATGCAATATCGTACATGCGGGTGTATACGTGCGCTGCAATGTTAGGGCACTGTCTGCGTCTCTCTTTCTCTCCCTCTTCCCTCCCCTCCTCGCCCCTCCCTCTCGACATCTCAACTCTACGATTATCCAATTTTCTTTGTTACTGCTATTTAATTGTGCGGAGTAATATTATTACCGAATAATTATATGCGAAATGTAAGTAATTGCAATGTTCGACTTGTGAAAATTTATTTCAATGTGACACATCTGCATATGTTTTTTTGAAAGTCTCAGATGCATTTCAGTGATATAAGTACGCACGAGTTGTATCTACAGACCATCATATACATCTTAAAAAGTTTGTCTTAAAAAAAAAAAATTCATATCTCGACTTCGTACTTCAATCGAACTTATAGATTCCTACTTTCTTCGTATATCTCAAAGCATTATTTTTAAAAGAAATTAAAATCGTACCGCTCGAAACGAATTTTCAATTTTTTCGTATATCTCAAAAATATATTAATGTCTCTTGCTTCAGGAAAAAAACCACAAAAATTTCTGGACTCTATACTTCAAATTGCCATTTTGAATTTATTTTCTTCTTTCGCCAAGCTCACGATTTTACATTAATAGCTGTTCAGTTTTAAATCTGTTAAATTTTATCGTTGACTTTATTATGTTTACCTTAAACATTGATTCACTGATTCACAAAACGAGCAAATCCGACTTTTCTCTCTCTCTCTATTTTGGCACATTTATCTTTTTCTCACATTGATATCCCTTTGTTCCTAGGAAAGTCGTTTTCAAGTTCGTACGGTTCTCCCGATTACCGATTTGACGTCGGCAGCATACATGAGCGAGTACACCACGAATACCTATGTACTACGTACGTAACGCGCGTGTGCACGCGTTTAACGGATATTTGTATACAAACAAACGTACGGTACAGTACGCGCGCGCCGCACGTACGCACACATACACACACATACATCTCGGTCGGCAGACAAAAGGATCAGATGTGCGTCGGAACGGGTGGGAGGGAGAGTAGGAGGAAGGGGGGAGGAAGGAAAGAGGCGAAAAGAAGGGGGGGAGATAGACAGACGGAGACAGAAAAACACACACATCGCAGGTGCAGCGTGCGGAGCGAGCTGCGAAGTGACTGGGAACCCTCTTGAGTGTAACGAACTTTTTTTTTTCTTTCCCTCCCTGAACTCCTTTCTCGCCAGATCGCAGTGTACATGGTTGGTGGCTACATGTTAATTCTCATGTCAGGGATATACACGGGCGGTATTCTCATTGTGGAAACGAACGCCACCGTGTCTCTGCTTGCCTGTGCCTGCACACTTCCGAGACAAAGGGAGGAAAAAAAAGGTCTGAAGACGCGTCAGGCAGTGGCGACTCTCCGGTAAAGGAGGGCATGACACAGCGCGTACAGGTATATGTTACACATATAAAAAAAAGCCTACCGGAGAATGTGGGGGGAGCGGCGAGGGGGGAGAGAGGAGGGGAAAAGGAGTATCTCGGAATTTATTCCACCGACTCCGTCGGAAAAACGCGTCGACGTAGTCGGTGGTGAGGAACATCCTGCAGGGGCGGTAGACTGACGGAGGAGAGGAGAGGCTGATTTGTGAGAAGAAACCGAGGAGTCGCGTGAGAGCGTAGAGAGGGGACAAAGAGAGAAAGAGAGCGAGACGGAGAAAGCCAACATAGAGAGACAAAGAGAGCAATCAACAACACAGCGGAGAAGAGTGAAGGTGTGAGAAGCAGCGGGGGAGGAGAAGGGGATATGAGGAGTGTGTGTGTGTGTGTATGTGAGAGAGAGAGAGAGAGAGAGTGTGTGTGTGTGTTGTGTGTGTGTGTGAGGATAAACAGAGACAGACATCATATACAACGCGCATCCGAAATCCTCGGTGGGAAAAATTCCTACCTTTGGAGCCGCGGGGAGCAAAAGGTGTCTACTGCCGGGGCTCTTTTTTTCTCTCTGTTTTTCTCGTGTCTCTCGTCTCTCAGAGCGACGTCATAGCCGTAGGCGTAGCTGACGCGCGCGAGTCGCCCGCCATTTAATGTAACACACGGCGCGTACAGCGATGTGTAACGCTCCCCGATGAGAAAACGCCGACCGACTATCGGTCGGCGGCGGCGGCGGCAGCTCCACCACTAGTAACACCGAGGTCGCTCCATGTCCCTCATCGTACATACGTATACGGTGAAGAGCGGCGTGGTGCCCGCGACCCCGCCCATTTAAATTGCCGGAGCCCCCCGTGTCGGGGCTCGAGAGACCACGCTGCGCCGCGTCTGCACGACGCCGATAGAACCAAACGTCCGTAGGAGACGTCCGACTGCCCGACCCGCGTCAAGCACTGGACCGCGTGACACCCGCGTCCGATTTCAATGCGTGCCCGTGACGAGGCACGGCGCCGAGCACGACTCGCCGCCGCCGACCGTTTATCCTTCCACCCTCCCCCCTCCGCCCCGCTCTCCTTCGCCAGTGCCGGCCTTAGATGACGGTAGAGATTGCGCCTTCGAATTGCGCGCGCGCGCGCGCGCCCAATTCTGATTATTTCAGATATTTTTTATTTTAATGACCGCTTTACTAACAGTAAGCGGGTGGCAGACGGTCTTCCTGACGATCCATTCAATTCTTGTGACAGATTTCAAACCTTTGATCTCAGACTGTGATAAAAAGGTAATGAAAGGTATATCGGAATATATTTATCATTTGTTGTCGCAGGGTACGAGTATGTTCAAAGACGGAGCTGCGCGCGACGACGATACTGCGTAGCCAGTTTTATCAACCTTCCTTGATCGTGACGTTAGTCGTCACGAACTTCAGATGTGACCACCGCGAGCGAGCTGGGTAGCAGCGCTACTTGTCGGCTTCGAAAAGACAAAACCACAAAACAGTCGATATTATCGGCGAAAAGATATTTGAAAAGAAAAAATTAATGAAAGTGACGTTTTTTCATGCTTGGCTGTTTTTTTTTGTACCAATAATTGTCCACTCGGAAGATTTGAGAAATATTTTTGAAGGATATATTGTATCAACTGTGATAAATTCTGCATTACAATTCTTGAAATAGAAGATAAACTTAGATGGCGTTTCGCATATATGTAAAGAGTAGAAAAAAAGTGTTATTGCCAATTGTATATGTTCCTGCTGATTTTGGCTCTACACAATTTATATAAATTTACAGTTAACTGTTAATTTAATCTAAAAACAAATAAAATTCAGCCTCTATCCAGCTGCTCCTCCCACGCGGGAATAAAAAAAAAAGGGAAATCATGAGCTCTTAAATTCCGCAAGTTAAAAATTTTTAGCTCCTTGGACTCCCCCATTTTTTAAAATTAATCAGGAATCGCGTATGGGCGCAATTAGGAGCTTCTTATGAGCTCGGGCTTACTACATCTATTGTATTTCGACAGTAATCGCAGCTGAATATGAATAATCGATTTTGATTGGTCAATTTTTACGGCTTAAAGCTTACATCTACTATTGTGTTTACGGGACTTATGGCGCATCCAGATGATCTCTGTGCGCAACACGCCTAGTTGATTGTCTGTCGCGTATATTGGCACTTCTGGTACTACGATACACGGAGGTGTCTCGCGTCGTTCCGTCGTCTGCATGTGGGTATCAGTGACAGCTCTAGTGTCAGTGGCGTCGAGTGTCAATTGACAAGCAGCGCGGAGCGCGCCTCGGCACAAACGCCTGTGTATTCTCTCTTCTGTATTTCGCATCGCGGGCAACAACACGTAAAGAGTGTTCAACGAGGGCGAGAGCACGCGCGATGCCGCGATGCCCCGTGCGGCGCCGTGAGCGGCCGACCGCGGCGGCCAGAGCGAGTGACGGCGTACGTCGCGATCGAACGTCCTCGTTAACGCCGCGTTCGTGTCGCGGTCTCTCATCAGCCTGCTTAACCACCCTTCGGATGTCCTCGTCGAGCGCCTTCCTCGCGCGCTCTCCTGGCCGCGCCTCTCAGCTCCCAGCGTCATCGATGTAACTGTACCGCGATCGAACGGTCGGATCGATCGTCGTCCTCGTCACCGCTACCGCTGCTGTCTCCTTCATATAAAGCTATTCTGCGATCTCCTCAACGCTATCATCAACGCTGTCATCGACGCTGTCATCCCTGACCCTGTTGTAACAGTTTTCCCACGACTCTCGGGGTCTCTCGATTTGACTTGACGGGGCCGTTATGGTGACCTGATCCTGACTCGGCAGCCAGAGTATCTCTGATGTTTTCCGCAGCACCTTTGCGACCCGTCGTACGTTTTTTTTCTGTGAAAAAATGTCAAAGGATTATCCTGCGGCAACGAAATCGAGCGCTTCTGTCGATGCGCGCCTCCTAAAAAAAACGCGCTTCCCATTACCTGTCGACAGTGTAGTTGTTCGCGAGTTGAGATCTCGGATTTTCTAGGGATTTTCCAGCGATTTTCCGCAAATAACATCCGATGCGCGAGGATGAGTGAGATGAGTCCTTGATTATTAATTTCACGCCGACGAAAAATTGCTTCCTCCGATTGCCGATATTTCCGAAGGATGTAAACTCGCCCGCTGTCGAAATCTTTTTGAGAAATAGAGGTGAGCCTTCGCGGATAAATTATTTATGATAGTTTTATTTGTTAATAAATTGCTTAGAAGTTAAACGCATTTCCGGCTGCAAAGTGCGACGCAAATTGCGTGAAAGGTGCATACAGAATAGAATAGAATAATATATTGACAAATATATTTATATCTTTGTGAATTCTCTATTTCTCTCTTTTTCTTTCTCTATGTGTGTATATATATGTGTGCGTGTATATTATAAAAAATTAAAACTCTCCGATAATATTTACTGAGTACTAGTTAATTTTACTCATTGATTTTACTTGTATTAGCTTGTCAAAGCTGTAATTTTTTGCTCCGTTTTTAACGGGACATTGATTTTGTTTTCTTGCGTTAGCTTGTAGTTATAATTTTTTACTGCTTTTCTAAACAGGATGTGATATCGATTCGTGAAACAATTGTTCAGCTTTGATGTTTTACGGATTGAAAAAAAATTAGTTAAAAATGAATAAATGGTTTCTTTTTATTAAATATTTGGTTTTTTAATTTTATTTTTACTATTGCATTTTATAACATACATAGAGGTTTATGTTTCAAAAAATCACATTCATTACAATCATTATATTGTCGTTTTTCCTTAAAAAGAATATTTTAAAATATGTCAAATATGTCTTTTTAGCATTGTAAAATTTTTATTAATTAATATGCAACATTTGTAAATATTTATATCATCAATAATAAAAATACTTATTATATTTGTATTAGAATTGTTTATTTGTACGAAATGTAAGCCAAGATGAAGAATATAACAAAATTTTTCACATTTATTAAGAATGTTTAGTCTGTACAATACCAGCTAAAGAATGGCAAAAAATTATTTAAAAAATTAATCGATATTTTATGAATAATTTTGGTCGTAAATATTGTCCTGAAATCAACTGTAAAAAAAGAACAAAATGAATAAGTTGATTTATACTGTTTTACGCAGCGTAATGATCATATTTTGCTGCAATTTTAGGTAAACAACTTTTAAAGTGGATTCAAGTTTTGCACGAATATTGATTAAAATTTTATTAGCACATATATATAACATATTTTATTTAATTCGTAATACTTCATCAAATAAGTATGTACTATAAAACGTGATTTTATATGAATTAAAACAACAAAATTAACGTTTCAATAGAAGAATTGGACTCAAATTTTATACAAATACTTGTCGGACATAATAATGGAACAATCTATAAAATTTTTGTATTTTTGGTATAATGTTTTGACATGGCACATACATCCTTAAGAAAAATGTTAACATTACTTTCAGGATAAACTGATGTGTTGACATTTAAACTAAACTTAAGATTGTAGGAAATAAATTTAAAAAGAAAGAAATTGACATTTAATGTGTAAAAAAACATTATTTAAAAAATGTAAAAAGAAGAAAATAACATGTAAAAAGTTAATATTAATACTAACAACGATCAATCTTTAAAAAAATTAATGTTGTATTTTGCAGGAGAACAGATATATCAAGAAATGTGAAGAGATTTAGCTGAAGGTTCTGCTGTTCTGCTATTGAAGAACAAGGATCTTGTAGAGGAAGAACAAAAAACATCAAAGAGCAACAGCGAATTCGGCATGATCCGTAGCGAAAATAGAATCCATTTGAAAACATTAGGCGGGGTGGCGGAGGCATGGAAGCCGAAACTGGTCAACCGTCTCTTCAGAGGCTCTTCAGGAGCACCTTGCCATCACCAGGAATACCCGGATTAGACGTCATAAGAGCTTTACACCAAGTATGATCCCGTTTCGTTTCACGTATTTCCCCCTTTGTCTTAAGGTTGTCTTGTTTATTACACTTGTCAATGTTTAATTTTATTACTTATACATATAGTGTTAAGCCTTCCGTCAATGCACAAGTATCAAGATACTCATTTCGAATTAAACAATTACAAATTTTTATATTTTCTGAGGTTGACATCTTAGATCTTCACCCTTCCAGCAACAAAGAACAACTTTGCACAGACCCCATCTCATTTGCATTTTTAGCGAAAAGAACCTTGCGATGAATATTACATTGTTCAATGTACCAAATATCTGGGCACCCATTACTTAATTTTTTACAAATATGAAAAACTGAAGTAATATTTGGATTGGAGATATGTTTATTCTAAATTAATAAAATTCACTTTGATAAAATCCAAGCACTTTATTTAATTTCAGTTTTCTGCAGAACTGTAACATTAATATACTGTAATGCATTAATATTATGAAGGAAGGAGTCCCGTTAACGAATGAAGATATGATAATTGATTACATTACTCACAACGATCGATATCTACAATTTTTTCGCTGATTCAATCAATCAAGAAATTTTATATTAAATTATAGTAAATTGGCGATGTGAGCTATTGGATTCCGCTTTGTCAGGAACATATCCAATTTTCGTTTTTGCTGTCTGAATATTTAAGGAATCGATGGGATCTAATAACTTTAAATATTCTTTTCTTTTTTGTATTTAATTTAAAATAATTACACTAATTATAATAAATACGAATATATTGGCTGATACTGCTTAAAAAATGTTTTTCGTGACTAGTATCAATGATCTAATCTTTATCTTGCAAACTGCGCTCATGATAATTCCTCTATGTTGACCTTTTTTTGCAAATATGAATTAATAAAAAAAAACCGCCATAAAAACATTCAATTAAATACAAAACATACAACAGTAGACGTCTGTTCACATCTCATTAAATATTGGCAACACACATGAGATATTGAGCGTGCTAAGAACCTGTTCTTTTAGTACAAAATAGATATATCAAGATTTTTTGTTCGGAAATGATTTAAAATATAATAGAAAAGAATTTCGAGACTTAGCAGTTGCCATAACGACGTTTTAGCACGACTATAGTTTGAAATACTTGTACTCGTATCTAGATACTCGGTGCATTCATGAAAGTAAAAGGTGAAAAATTAGGCATTGACAGAAGGAAGATTAAAGAAAATTGATTCTCTTTTGAATAATTGACAATCTTATTAAATAAGTATCAAAATTACCCGGTTTTATTTTATATTTAAAAAAATTATTAAAGTTAGAATTATTTATGTTAAAATACTTTTGGCATTTTTCAGATCTTCGATTTTGAGTCATAGTTGTTTCTTGTTGCTAATTATAAATCTTCTCGTTCATCAAATTCCAACTACAGTATATTTTTGAATAAAAAGAAGACTACATTCATTTATCTGCTATAGATTATATATTATTCAACGATATCACAAAAAACAAAATATTAAAATTTTATAATCGTTTTCATTGCTACATATCTTTCATTGAAAATGAAAAAGTGTTCTGATAATAAAAAAATTTCCACTTATCTGTGTGATGTAGACAGTCGTGTCACTACGCTCGGCTTTGGACTCATCACGTGAAGAGCTCCGCCGGCTGCAGGAGAGCGTCGGCAATTTTTCCGGCGAGAACTACGTTGATACAGTGGGCCGTCTGACCCTCGAAAATCACGTGCTCAGACGAAGGATTCTGAGTAGGAGCTGTGAATTCTCGTGCGATGCAGCGACCAGCCCTCCACTTCAATCGAAACACGTCCGACTCATCGTAGAAGCCCATATGGAGTAAGTACAAATTGATTTTATTGTTAATGTTGGAAATGGATCCTTTGACGTTTGAGGATTCACTCGACGTCAAATCAGCAGAATTATTAAATTTTTCCATATAATAGCCAACCGACAGATCCTGAGAAAACCACTATGGATGTATCCAAGAAGATTGCTGATGCTCAGAACGCTTTTAACGAACCAGCCTCTGAAGACAGCAACGTTAGCAGCAGCAACAACAATAGCCCCGATCCGTCTTCTCGTGCTAACCAATTCGACAAGTTTCAAGATTCATCAAAATCTTCTAAAACTACAGCTGCTAGAAGCACAGCCAGTACCAAAATTACTGAGACGGCGTCCACGATGCTGAACGTTTCCCAAAATGAGAATCACAAATCCCCGACTTTGACAACAAATGTGGCTAGCAACGAGGAAGAGTCCCGAGTAGAAATTTCAGGTTTCAAAAACAATTTCTTTAACAATTTATAAATATAATAATATACAAAAATTATGAGATTCACATAGCAATAACAATAATGGTGTAATAATGATTTAAAAAACTTTCTTAAACACGAGATATTAACAATTGTACGAAGATTTAGTTTTTTCTTTGGGAAAGAAAAAAAAATGCAAATCATAGACGTGTTTTCTTCGTGTCCTAGGCGATGGCCCAGCTAATATGGATCATTTAGACATTCCTGAGAGGGATCCCGAAGACTTGAGTTTGAAATCCATCTCCGATGGCGATAACTCAGTGTTCAGCGATCACGTAGATCAATCTCAGATGTCACGACAGGGTCAACCGGCTGATTCGCCGAGGCCGAACGAACACTCGGAGAATGAGTCCGAAGAACTGGACGACATCGAATTGATATTCACGACAGACGAGATATGTCGTGATCTCGGCTTGCAGGAGGACTTGGTGTCTATCACCGAGACGGAGACCTGGCAGCATGCAGGCACTGGCGGCCAGCCTATTTTACTCAAGTACATAAAGACGGAGGGTGAATCGTTGGTCTGCAATGGTGAGAAGAACAGCTCTGTCGAGGAAGCCGTCTCCTCGCAAAGCTCTAGCATCGACCGCGAGGAGAGTGTTGACAGGTTCGACGAGAGTTCCAGTACCAGGCTCAACAAGATGTGGTCGCAGTGCTCCGTCTTGGTTGAGACTGACATTAGCAAATGCGGTGTATTGGAGGACGCTGAAAACGCGGGGGGATCATCCCTGCGACATGTCACAAGGAGAAACACTCTGGCTGCACCGCCGACAGCTTACAGGTTTACAATATTAGATAATTTGCTATTTGGGAAATAATTTTTTCACAAAGGGAATAATCTTCTGACAAGCTAGTCATGTCTAAAAAATTTATAAACAACATTTGCAATATTCGTGTAATTCACGTTGATTATATTTTTTAGCTTAAAATCAAGCGATCAATTGATTGAACGTCAATTATTATCAATTTTGTAAACTCGTTTTTTTTTTTATTTATTGTATTTCAATTTTATTGTTGTGATGTATTATTATCATTGTTATCCTTTTAGACCCATTATTCATCGAGAAGCTCTGGCTAGTAGTCGGAGAAAGGGCTCTGTTCCATTGCGGCCAGTGATGGATCGTAGCAGTGGTGCCCGAAGAGAATCTGGTGCCCAGACGGATATCTCTGCGCTTCCGGCACAATGGCGATCCGAGAGCTACCTCGCGCACAAGGTCGCGCATACTTTTACGACGTTACCGAGCAAGTTTGCGCTACCAACGGGAGTGCCTGGCCGACTGAGATTGTCGGACAAAACTCGAGAAGCTAGGAGAGTGATGTTGTCGGACATCAGTTTCACTAGCATGGTGCCAGAATTATCAAGGAGCGCTGATCACCTGTGCCATGAGCCACACGCGCAGGTGAAGTTAAAACCTGAATTAAAAATCGAAAAAGTTACAAGCATAAGTTACGTTAACTGACAACTTATTGTAACTGTCTGTTCGTTGTTGCTGCACTGGGATACACTAAAACTGTTTATCTCGCTTTCGTTAAACATATAATTTTAAATATATAACTGTTCCATTTTAAGTACATACGCGTGTACACTAGTTCAGCCACAAAATACAGACCTTACAATAGATATTTTTTATTGCTGTATTGAATTGCACTAAAACCTGTCTTCTCGCTTTCATCAAATTTCAAACACACCTATATTTTACTTTAAATAAATAAAAAGTGTACACTATGTAGTACGGCTATAAAAAACCGTCTATAAAATATACAGTTGTGTAAATATTATTCATTCTATTTTATTAGACAATAGAATAAATAAAAAATATATATTTAATTAATATTTCAATAAAATTATTTCCTGAATATTTTAGAGCTTATTTTTTGCGAATGAAGTTTATTCGTAATTTAAGTTAATTAATAGTAGAAAGAATTAATGACAATGATATCTTTGTGCCAAAGTTTTGAATTATTGAATTAAAAACTGTAGAATGAATTTCGAACTTTTTAAAGAATCTGTGATTGAAATCAAGTACAATGGTTTTCCTTTTTTTTTTTTCTAGACGTGTTTTAGTTCGCGCGGCTGTGGTCTCCGTACACCGGAAGCCCATAGACGCGAGTCCCTGGGCTCTCCTGCGGGTTACTGGCCTCGTTGCAATCCCACCACGGGTCTGCCAAGTCCCTGCGACTGTCGGTTATCAACCGATCTGTATCCTTCGCGATATCGTGGTTCTTTGACGTCGATACCGTCACCCAATCTCGAAGTCGTCGGCGGCCCTCCGCGGAGACATTCCTGGAGAGCGACGGCGGCATCCTTCGATACGTGGAGGGTCCCGATTGCAACTTCCACACCACGACCGACATGGTCTTCGATGCCATCCTCTCCAACACACGTGCATCCTCCATCGACTTCCTCCAAAATTTTGAAAAATGCACCAAAGAGAACACGCTCCAAGGTGACCTTCCAAGGTATGGTACATGTACAAGGTAGAATATCTTGCACACTTCGAAAAACTTATAAATTATGTTGTACTAAAAATTGTTGTATACAAAATTTGTATGACTTCGAAAGAGTCATTACATATAGTGTATGAAATTTTTTTATAGATACAGATTTCGTTTCGAAGATTTCAAGGTCTTTTTTTTTTGTTTGTGAAATTGTATGATTTTGTTTTACGTAATATAATTCTTTTACATATAAAAGTATTAAGATTATCAAATAATCGATTTACAAGATATCTTATGCTTTATTCTGCCACTTTTTCATATCAACTATTCATATAAAATAATGATGTATTTAGAAAAAAAATTGTACATTAAGTAATTCCGACAGTGAGTTTTACGTTTACGAAAGAAAATGATGATAATTTTCAGAGTGTCCAATGACGCGCGGCAGTCTACCCAATTTGCGTTCAGACTCAGTCGGCGGTGAAAATAGCGGAGACTCTACCGAATCATTGATCGATGAGGCCGAGGATTATCTGCGACGAAGCATCGATTCTATGCTGACAATATCGAGTGTCAGTACGGATTATTGGAGCAAACAGACGGCAAGACGAAGAAGGGCGCGAAGGCATTCGGAGCCAGACTTGATTCGTGATTGGCATCCTCCTCAGGACGCCAGGCCATATTTGCCAAAGGTACTGTTACATTTGTAATCTTTTTAAGCTTCAATTATTTAATTCTCAATATATTTTAAATTTATAATTGCTCGAATTTTGGTATGTATCCTTTAGATACCAAGAGATCTCAAACTGGATCACCTCGTGAAGGTGATATCGCCGGAGGGCAGGGTCCTCCAAGGTCGCGTGAGATACGTAGGTCCTGTTCCAGGTCGAGAAGATACGCATGTGGGAGTAGAACTGCCATATGTCAATGGTTCGTCCGATGGTACTTTCCACGGCCGAAGATTCTTCGATTGGTAAGCTTGCGAAACAATTTCTAAAATGCAGACTATTTTGCAAACATATATAATACTAACAAAAATTAAGAACTGCACTTTATTTGAAGCTATGGCGAGAGAAGAAAGAATTTTTTAATATATTATATAATCAGCCTTTTTTCTATTTTTCTCTAAACTTTTAAACAATTTCGCCGTAATACCCTTGTCGTCTTTAACATTTTCGGACGTATGCTGCTGTAGAAGCAAAGCGTTTGATATACAATTCATTAAATTAGGATTCAATAAGTTTCTTCTTTTTTAATTTTTAATAAGTTCCTTCAGTTAATTTAAAGTTTAATCAAGAATAAATATCATTAACAGCGAGCCGGATCGAGCAATCTTCGTCCCGTTCAAGAAGGTGGTGCTTGCTTGGTGCACCACTTGACCCGAAGCACCGACCGCCATGGTCACTCCTCGTATTCTGCTCTCCCAGTACACCATGTAAGAATTCGATGATACGCAAGTCATACTTGTGGATTGTCATCTTCGAAAGCCAGCCAGTTTTTGATTAGTGAGATCAGCGGGATGACTAATCTGTGGTGGCGCGCGATTCTATTATTCTACTATTCCCATACGGAATCGTCGTCTATAACCATATGTTTAAAGTTGTCAAAATTTAAAAAAAGACCTTCGGACATCAATGTAATAGCAAATTCGCCAAGGTATATATTAAAACTCGTTATAAATCGCATCCACATCATTCGATGGTTTTTTTCAAACGCATGAGAGAATAACGTGATGATCAGTATAATTATATATGTATATACTAATTGTATATACGTATATACATACACGCAGGGTTGGGTGAGTTACTTTTAAAAAGTAACTCGTTTACCGTTACTCGTTATTTATTGTAAAATTCAACTCGTTATCGCTACTTGTTATTCATTGGAAAAGGTAACTTGTTATAGTGTTGTACTTAAAAAAATAACCATGTTACAATTTCCATCACTTTTTCACCGATTTTGATCTTTTTTTTTTATGATTAATCGCATCATTGTCAAACACATTTCCTTGTGTATGTTTCATCTACATGTATTGTACGTGTACAGAGTACTTATGATAAAAGTAACGATTATACTCGTTATCGTTTACCCAAAAAAATGTAACTACGTTATACCATTACCGTTACTAACAAAAAAAAAATACGACACCGTTATCAATTCGTTACTAAAAATAACTGCAATGGTAATGGCGTTTAAAGTAACGCGTTACTTCTCAACCCTGCATACACGCATAAAATAACATACTAATCAATCAATTCCGTTTGTGTGATATTGTTCGATGTGGATTATCACCGCTAGCTGAAAAGATAGTAGTGATGAATTCCGCTATAACGCTCTTGCTGTATCTGATTTTCTAAGAATAGATGAAAGAGAGAGAAATAAAGATCAGAAATAGGTACATCATTTTATCGGTGGGAGTTCTCTCTGAAAATGAGAACAAGTATAACAATGATAAAAAAGAAATAATTTGGGAATGAGGGAATTAAAGGTTCGTGATTGTGGAAAATGAAGGGACAAATAGAATCAGCCGCCAATTAATTTCCAGCAGAAATAATCAAAATTAATCAATAGTTTCTATCGATAACCAAGAGGCTATGTGCAGCAAACGCTAGTGTTTCATTTCGCAGCGTGCCACACGCCTACATTATGATCACGAGTAATCTCGACGACAATGATGTTTGCTTGCGATATTGTAACATTAGGTTGTTAAGGGATTGCGTTTCTCGTTCATAAGAGAAAGGATAAATTTATCATTTTGACTACTGTAAAACTCGATTAACTCTCATTAATACACACATCGAGAAAAGTTCCGCATCTCATTCTATTTTTATGAATTTCTCTCTTTATATCAAGCCGAAAGATAATTTTTCTCGTATAACTTCACACCTGACAGATTGTTTCCTCCAATGCATAATATTATTGATGCTATTTCTCCGCCAGATGAATAAATGTGCAATTTAATCGATATATTAAAAATAAGATTACGATATAAAACTTTTTTTCGATGTGCGTATTTTGGACTGAAACGAAAAAGAATGGGGATAAAGACGATCCGCGTAAAGACGGTCATAAATGCTATCAAATTTGTTATCAACTTATATCTTCGCGCGTTGCTTACGAGCTTTCGACGAACAAATGTTTTAGTGTACGTATGTATATGTATTTTATGTATAATCTATCTGTACATTTTAAAAAGAGACACGCGTATATAAAGTGTGGGCACTACACTTGGCTGTATAAATACAAGTATAATCATATCCTGAGGCTGTACCTATATTGTTTTACCGATGAATCCGACTTTTTTTTTTTTTTTTTTTTTTTATTTATTCGAACGATGATGAGAACTGATCGATGCGTTCCATCGCTGAATTTTTAGATCCGTGGATACTTAGCTAAATATTAACGCAAAAACGATGAGATGTGTTGTCAATCTCAATCACTATTTATTGTACCGTAACAAATACCAGAAAATAAAAGAAAACTTGATCACAAAGCTACGTCATTTTCCTTGCCTGAAACCTTGAATTCTTCAATATCGCTTAGAGATTAGAATCTTTGAGAGCTATATATATATATTTTTTATAGACAATTCGTTATTGAACTCTTTTATCTTCTAAAGACTTCCGATTTAATTTCGTTTATGCGATCTTTGTCACTATACAATTATATATGACTTCTAATTATGTACTACACTTATAACAATGTTTCATGATGTCCTGCGCTCTCTTCGACTTGTCTCGATAAGTAATTAATTTCGGAAAATCAGAAACGATGAGCCGGATAATCAGCGTACCAGCTGAAAGCTCCGTTGGAGCCGGTGTGTCCTCCGAAATCGACGTAGTCCAGGACATGCGCGGCCGATCGCTCGGAACGCTGTACCTCGGAATCGTCCTGTTGGGAAACGCTGGATATAGGAATTGGCACGTACGCCTCCGTTTGTCTGGCCACCCTCGACAATGAAGGCGCGATCGGATTCACTTCGATGACATCGATACCGTCGATACCGTCGACGGGAATAGCGATATAACGTCGACTTCCTAGCGCACCACAAACGGCGCACAGCAACGTCAATGCAATACCCTAGAAGAAAAGCATAAAATTTTATTTAATATTTCCATGAGCCGGAAGTCTATTAACGGGTCATTTACTGTCTATTGACCGATTACCTATTAATCGACTAATTAATTAATCGGACATTCTGTTATTCTTATCACTTTGTACTATGTATGTGTACATGTATTAATATTATTTTGTTCGAAAAACAAAATGTATTCTAAATTTTATTCGAAAAAAAACTACGTTGTCGATTGGTAGTATATCGAGTGATTAGTAGATATAAATAAAATAATTTATTTCTGAAATGAGCTTGTTTAACAAAAAACACAAACGATAATAAAAATTAATTCCGAACAAGTTTGTAAAATATATATTTATCAATCCTTTTCTTATTATTGAAAAAACGAAATTGCATCATTCGAATACAAATTGATTCTGTACAAAGAGAAAAAGTAATGATTGCAATAAACGACATGAATTTGTTATTTACCAAATTATTCATCATCCTTGTGGTAAGCTGAAACAGGAATTCGACTCGTTGAACTAAAGAGAGGAGCTCTGCCACTGCCGTTTTATACGTTTCGTTTCGCCGCAGCTTTCTAGTCTCTCTGACAGGAACCGACAATTACTTCTGGCCACTTCTTGCACCATGTTTATCCCATCGCGAGTCAATTGTCGCGCTAAGCTGGCACGACCGCGAGTTGTTGAAACGTGCAGCAAAGTCCTCGGAAAAAAATCGTTATATCCTTCTTCCTGAGTCACGCCTCGGCACTTTCGATCTTCTTTCAACCGAACTTTCGATTATTCTTTCTCCTCCCGCGCGTTTTTCTTCCCGCAATTCGCTCGGGCTTGCTTGCCAGCTATTTGATGATGATTTAATAATTTAAACAATAAATTCTTCAAAAATAGATTTTTTATTTACGTTCTTAAATTGACAAAAATTATTTTTTTTTTTTTTCGTTATACATTTCTCACTGTTAATCGTCCTGTGATCGTTTTCTACGTTCTAAGTTTGAAACTTAACTATATTATAAAAATTATATCAGTATCTTTCTTTTTTTATTACTTTTCATCACTAGACGGTGTGAGCTGGTAAAACTTATTTAATAATTATTAACATATTAACTCTTAATACTATTGAAAGATCAATTTAGTTTCACATTTTGACCTTTTTGTTGTTGATCTGTTTATATGCTTAGAAAATAAAAATCCAATAAAAATTATTATTCATTATGTTATAATAATTATTCATCATTTTCGCATACTTTGTTCATATGTTAAAAAGTTTAAGAAAATATAAAAATTACGTATTGTCATAGATAGGATATTAATATCTCAATTCTTAAAAACATAACTTTCAATACTTATTTGTGTTTCAAAATAAAATAAGAGAATAAGAAATCTGAGTTCAATCATTTTACGAATTTATGATTCCAATATTGTAAGTAGTGTAACAAAATCCAATAGTGTAACAAAACAAATGTCCAATAGTGTAACAAAAAAGTTATATCCTTATACTCACTACAAGAAATATCGCAGTATTATATAAAATCTGCTTATAAAAAACTAATAGGAACTCTTGCTACATTTCCCAAGCAAAAAAAAAACAGAACTTAATATATTTGATTTTAGTTTACTTAATTTTAAAAAACCGTAATGTTATTTAAGTTAATTGCCATTCAAATCCATGCAAAATTATTTGCATATTGTTCTATATTAATATCCGTTTTTTTACTTAGAGATTTGTTCATTTGATCCTCGATCGGAATTTTTTATTTCTTCGTTGGTTGCTCAGATTCCTAAAAAATTGTGAAATAAACAATATCAATCATGTCTGAATTATAATATAAAATATCAAATACAAAATATAAGCAATTTTTGGTGGCTTAGAAACAAATTACATTAAACATATTTTTCTTTGTCACATGGATTATTGATATTCTGTTTAACATAACATAATTTTTACGCTAATTAAAAAGTGCAATCAGAATTTTTTTTATCTTCCACAATTTTTGTCTAATGATTCTTTAATACATAAATATTAAAGATTTTCATTGTTTGTCAATAATAATGTATAATTTTTTTAAACATCTTATAGAATTATATTTATGTTTGCTAAATAAAAGCACTATTGTGAAGTCAATAGCTGTATGTGCAAAGGCTACGGCAAACAAGGTTTTTAGCAATGCATTGTTGCATAAAAACATGAAAAATAGATTTCTCTCAATAATGAAAATTGACTGTGATTTTATATACATTAAATTGTCAATTATCACTTTTTAAATAATATAACTATGATATGTGTTGATACACGATTATCTCAGATTTAAATTCTGTGTGTAAAGGGCATATTATTTTTTTTATGTGACAAAAAATAAATGTTAACTTATAAGAGAAATGTCACAATTAACCGTTCGAAACCGATTTGATTCTCCTTGAAACATATTTTGTCGCAAATTCACAATTATTTTTTCAGATTAATATTGGCTTTATCACAATTGAAACGTATTTAGTTGAAGTAAAACGAATTAGACAGATATGAGACAAATGGAGGAACTTATAAGGCAACGTGGAATTCAACTGCCGAACGCGGAACTCTTTTTCGATTTCAGCCATTCCTAATTGTATCAAACTATCACTAATATTAATATACTGTGACAAAAATTTAAGACACGTTTTTTTATATACGTGTCTAATCTCATGTTTAGGAAATAAAACATCTCTTTGAAGAAAAACAATTCTTCTTTTTCGAGGAAAATATCGACAGAAGTATAAAAGATAAAAAACAATTTTTTTACAAAAATTGTACGATTTGAAGATACTTTCAAGTTGTAAAGAAAGAAAAACTTTTTGTTTAACAAAATACTTTCACCACAGAAAGTTTTTTCTGTGAAAATTTATTATACATTATTTAATTCAAAAAAAATAATTTAGAAAAATTTTTAAAAAACTTAAAATGGTGGGGGGATTTTATTAAACAAAAAATTTAAAGGTTTTTTTCCTTACATTTTGAAAATACTCTTCAAACAGCTTTTGTTTAATTTTGGTCTATCTTTTATATTTCTAACGATATTCGCCCCGAAAAAGAAAAATCGATTTTCTTCAGAGAGATGTTTCACTTCTTAAACAGCAGATTCCGCACATATAAAAAAAGTACCTGTCTCCTAGATTTTGTGCTTAACATATCTCAAGGAGAATCAATGCATTTACATACTTCATTCTGAAATTAATGTTCCTAATTACTTAGAAATTTAATGTTTAATATAAAGAAATTACCTTTCTTTGTCGCAAATTCACAATTATTTTTTCGGATTAATATTAGCTCCATCACAATTGAAACGCATTTAGTCGAGAATCAGATAAGAATGGGACAAATGAAGAATCGCACTTATCATAAGGCAACGTGGAATTCACTGTCGAACTGACCTCGTTTTCGATTTCAGCCATTCTCAATTGTATCAAACTGTCCCCAATATTAATATACTGTAACAAAAAGCATTTAAAAAATTTTTAAACAAACACGTATACAATATTCTAATGGCAAGCGATGGATTGCGATCGCAATGCGATTCTATTTTTTCTTTTAGAGAATTTGAATACCTTAATACATCTTTTTTTCAAATAAAATTATTATATATATTATATGCTACAACTTTCTAAGATGTATCATTAAAATTAAGTCTATGCATAACATATGCAACAGTGTGAGTACATCATTCGTAACATAAATAACAACTCTTGTTCTCTTAAAATTCATAAATGCAAAGCATACATAAATTTTAAAAGATCTGCATTTTTTTATTCGCGGTAATAAAATTTAGTAAAATTTTGATATTTGTGGTACAGCATTTAAAGCAATTATTCGATATAAAAACTTAATAATTACACAAAAATCGTTCATAAAAAAAGATTTTTAATTGTAAAGATATTTAAATTCTATTCTAAAAAAATAGTAAAAAAATGTTACGTAAACTTTAATTCTGGAAAAGGATTTATAATTCTGTGAAATCAATTTAAAAAATGGATTTGAAAATAGTCATATTTTATCGGTAAAATAGACCTGTATTTCAGCTTCGTCTTAATAAATATGCAAATAATATCACGTAATAAAAGAAAATATTGCTCTCAAGTTATAAAATATAGTAATAATATATTTGTCGGTTCAAAACGAGAATCTTGTTCTTAAATTGGTAAACGAGAACAAAGAAGGATGAGACAATTTAGACAAATTAAAAAGAAAAAAAAACAGAAATAAAGATTTAAAAGAGATGATAATAATTATAAAAAATTAATTTAAGATAAAAATAAAAAATCTAGATTAAAACTTATGAAAAAATCCTTGATCTTCTCACAAATAAATCTATCTTTGTGTTACTTGCCGAATTTATTGAAACTCTTGTTATAAAACTGATGAAGACTAATTGTAAGTACAATCAAAACGTAATCTTCTACTAATTATGTATTAGATATTAAAATATTATAACTTTATAATGCAATATCTTGTTTCCACTTGTTTTCGTTTTTAATCATTTTCTTTTTTACCATTATAATTAAGATAATAAATTAACTTTAAAGCCATCAAAATATTAAAAAGAATATTATAAAATCTCAATAAAATCGCACATCTATGACTTAATGTTTTGCAAAAATTTAAGCATTTATAAAACCAAAAACTATTTATACAGCATAAAAATATCGAGAATTTAAAGTTTAAGAAATTTAGAAATTTTTTTATCTCTTTCATCTCACCTCATCGTTATCCTTGTCGTATAATTCGATACATGGAAGCAATGAATTTTGACGACGAAATCCTCCGTAACCTACCGGACGTTCCTTGTAGCCTCTAATTTTAGCAGCAAGCGGTTTCCATTTTGCTAAATGAACAAGTTCGGCGAAATGGTCGTTAGCTTCGGAGCTCCATTCGCTTTCTCTATAAAATAACAATATGTTTCATTGAAGATGATTGATAATCCATTGATCAGGGAGATATTGATTTACCGTGGCTTCACATTTGCCAGCGAGCATTCTACAGCCTGTAGTCGTAAACTCAACATGTCTGTACGAAGTTCTAATACATCTTCTATAGGAACGATCTCTATATCTCCATAATCCACAAAGAAGACTTCACATCCAGAAAATTCCGCATCGGAATGTACAAATATAACTTCGGCACGATACCACTTATTGTCATATTTAAATTTAGCTGCTACCATTTGGCCTACGGTTACCTAGAATCAACAAGCGGTTACAGATAATTAAACTATATATTAATACAAATAGACGAAAACAGTCAAAATGGATCTAATGCCTAATATTTCTACTTGAATTTATATACATTTTTCAGTTCATGTAAATCGCGCGCTGATTATCGGTTTTGAAACAAACCTGTGATAAACTGAAGTGGAACAGCAACATCATAAATTTATAATCAACAACTGGAATAATATCTTTCTCAATAAATTCTTTATAAAAAAGTTAGTAGGATGCTTATTAGCGTCATTATTATAAAATTTATTATCAATTTAATTTGATATTACTGTTCCAGCTTCAATTTAAAATTGTAATTCAAAACCTGACAAATCGGCAGATAGATTGCATAAACTATCATATACATAAATTCATGTAGAAATATTATTAGGCCTTCCGAATTTAGCTTCTTTCGCTTTTTTGTGTTATATCGGTCCATTTTCTTATTATTACTGTATATTATTAACGATAATATTGTATGTGTACACAATTCTCTATCTCTTGTCTACATTTATATTATTTTAAATATCTTGTTACAATAAAGGTAACCGACATTTTTCTCCACTTACTTTTTTTAAGGTATGAAGCTTGCGATTTTCCTCTTCATCGTAATATTCCGTCATATCGTGTATTAAGTTTTGTAAATCGATGTTTGCAGGACCAACTACTTGAATCCAAAAACGGCTTGGCGTTTTCATCGCAGATACATACACTTCCATTAAATCAGCTATTAAAATAAAAATTCAATTGTAATACGGTATACAAGAATCGAACAGATTAATAGACTTTTATAATTTATAAAATTTACAAAAAATTAAATATTTCACGAATACAAGTTGTTTTGCTTTACATACCTTCTTTAAATGCAATTTTTGAAAGTTTCGAAACATTGTTAGACGTGCTACTATTATTGTTACACAGAGAGTCAGATATTCTTTTTATATTCATTGTACTCTCGTAATTTAATTCTCCTGCTTCTTTAACTTTATTTTCTATCTGCATAACGGCTAGTTCTATTTGTTTAGCAGTCCCAAGTATTGTTACTTTACTTTTATTATCTGTAAAAAAAATTATTGCAATTGCTATAATATTTTAGCAGAATTAACATAGATCCAACAAAAATGAATTGTATATCCTAATGTAGTTAAAGATGAAACAAAAATTTCATATAAATTGAAACGCATCTTAAAAAAAATGTTAAAATAATGCATACCTTCGCGTCTATTATTTTCAATTGTGATTTTTGCACCAGAGGATTTTTCCATTTCTTGTATAATCCATCCATTTTTTCCTATGATTCTTCCGCAAGTATCACGTGGCACTAATAACTCAAATGTCTCAACATCAGGATGATCATTTGTGTTAATAACATCATTATTATCAGAAGATGTGGATTTCATTCTCGCAACTTGTAACTTTAACTGAGTTTCAGCTTCGACTTCATTCTGAATTTTGTCTTCTATTTCAATAATGGCGGCCGCTATTTGATCAGAAGTACCCTTTAGTATTATCCTTCTTTTCACTCCAGCTGAAAGAATTAATATTTATTATAAGTACTAATTCTTGAGCAGAAATACTACTGTTACAAATTTGATATAAAGTGTTGAAAACGTACTTTCAGTTTTATGAGCATCATTCTCAATTATGATTTTTGTGCCATGAGTTTTTTGAATTAAATGTGCAAATTCACGCCCGTCATACCTTTTTTTCAAAACTTTTCTAGAAACATCGAAAGGCACGAACAATTCATAGGTTACAGAGTCAGGTACATTGTTTATTATACTCTGTATCATATTCTGTGCTGAGCAAATGTTGTCTTTGTTATCAGACCATAAATAACAGACGCGTTCTGAAGAAATGTTCGCCTTTTCCATTTTGATGTGAGTGTTAGTTAATTCTTCTATATTCTTTATCACAGTACCACCTTTACCGATAACAGCAGATACATACTTCTCAGGTATTCCAAATTGCACACAAATTTCTTTGCGTTTGGATGTCGCTGTCTGACTATATTTCTTTCTATCATTATTATCATCCTGCAATATAATATTAATAAATAATCTTGTATTTAAGGAACAAATAAACTTCATTAAACTTCACAAACAGATTTGTAATTAAGAAAACGCAACATATAAAGAAATTTTGTGCCAAAAATGCAAATCTTTACCTTTTCAAACATACTGTATAACAATATGGCCATTGACAGTCCAAAAGTTGTTAGAGATATGCCGAGTAAAATCGGTAATATCGATCGTTTATTCACATTTGATATCCACTTCATTTTTCTATTAATTTATCAAGATGATATATTGTATAATCTCTGCAACAAATGTAAAAAATTATTTACATAATTAATAATGCATTTATAATTGATAAAATATATTATTATACAATCTATAAAAAATTAAATATAAGCAACAGAACCTAGTAGGCAAGTGAATCTAATTGTAAAAGTGAATCTAAGTGAATTCTGTAATAATACAGTGATAACAGTAATACGTTTTCCAGCAAGGATGCAATATAATACAGTGAATCTCACATATATGCTTGATGACTGCCAATTAACAAAATAAAGAAATGATTCACTGTTACATTATGTCCTCGCTGAAAAATTACACACAATTAACCTCTGTTTACATATTTCTAACATATTAATTGCTACATCATTTATATGTAAAAGACACTCGACTTCATAAAAAGCTCCCAAGAAGCCAAACACGTTTTCTCTCAAAGTTTCCTTTTTTTTTACTACAAAACATTGTATATATTTTAATGTAAAATAACATGATTTATGACAAAAAAAATAAATTATGAAAGAAAATACATTTGGCTTCCTGGACATTTTTCATGATAGAATATCATCTACATATGAAAGAGCAATCAATATTTTCGTTATTATTTCTAAACACATGTACAATAATAAGTATAACTTTCTAAATCAATAAATTATATCATCATATTGTATTTCATAGGTTACATTTTTTCTTCTTATTATTGATATTTAAAAAAATATATACATATCAAATGTGTTACAGGAAGGAAAAAAAATTTTCTCAGCAACAATACCGTAATTATCTTTTTTTTTTTACGTTAAAATCCAATAACCTAATATTTAATAATTTCATGAAATGCTGAATAGTAAATGTTTTATACCTATAACTTGTATAGGTGAAAAATTTCAACGAAAAAAAATTTCATAAAATGATACATTTTAATGTAAAATCCAAGTTTATGTCCTGCCTATCTCATCACGTGAAAGAACACATGCACAACACACGTAAAAAAATGCATACCTACTGTTACAAACTTAGCGATTACATCAACGATGTTTATGTGTTTCATAACCTCAATAGTCGAACGAGTCTAATCACTCGAATTATGGATTAATCCATATTTCATGTGAGTGAGATTCACATAAACTGTGCTTCTGTCGAAAATACAAAGATATTAATTTAAAAAAGAATGATATAGTCTTTTGTTTCCTATTCTACGATTATTTTGATGAAAAGAAAGAAAAAGCGATTATTTTTCTTGCTCTTGGAAAAAGATGTGCATTTTCGTTTCTCTCATTCTTGTGTTTCTCTACACATTGTTCCCACTTAGCGCATTATATGAATCATGTTCATATCTCTGTTCATAAATGTAAGTCATTTATACAGTCACAAATTTGTGAATATTTATAATAGATCGCCTATTAACCTATATGGAATTGGTTCCTCTGCCAGATAAACGAATTTTTTAATTTTGCCGATTAATCCGAAAACTCGTGTAAAATACTATTGGATAGATTGTAAATTAAACAAAAGAAGTATATATACTATTTAATGTTATATATACATTTATAATTATATACATTATATAAATATATACATTTAATGTTTATTGCGTATTTACTTGCATAAAAAATCAGTAATTACTGTATTTTGTAATTTAAATTTTCTTTTAAGTTATAACAGCGTTATCCAATGTGAAACAATTTCCTATCATAATGTCATATTTGCTAACATATTTCATTAAAGATACTAACCAATTAAAGCGAAATCGGATAAAAGAAAATCTACTTTATATAAGTTTAGAAATCAAATACATACCCTAGCTAGATGAAACCTAATCATGCGGCATAAGAAATTCAAACTGACGTGCTGTAAGCTGTATGTGCTGTAATGAGAAATGGAAGCGATACTAGCTCCAGTCCTCATGATGTAAAAAGAAACCAACTTGAGAGATGCGCAGTAGCCAATTTGGTTAACCAATCAGAATCCTGTCCAAAATGCAAAAATCAATATGGCTGACTGCATGACACGCGGTTAGATTTAAATTGATTGTGTCAGCTCATCGAATCGTGAGTGAAAAAGAAAATAACAAGAAAAAAAGTAATCTGCTATTTTAAAGAGAACAAGTAAAGAAAATATCTATTAATGTAAAATTATATTATAATTTTACAAATTTAAATTTATATAATAATTATAATTTATATTTAAAATTTATATAATAATTTTATGTCAAATATATGTGTATATATGTAATATATATTTCTGCAAAGAATATATACCCGCAAAGGTATTAGAAGATCCCGCAACTATCCCTCAATCAATTGAAGGAAATTTAATTTAATTTAATTTAATTAATTTAATTTTTTTAATTTTATTTTAATATCATTAAAAAATAATATTAAAATAAAATTTAAATTTAAATTAATTAAATAAAAATTTGAGCGTAAGTCGAACGTAAAGAGAGAGTGACAGAAGTGTAAATGAAACTTCTAGAAGGCGTTAACGCTAATTCCTTTACATTTCGCTGTTCCAATTTTCGCCTCCTATAAAAAGTTTTGTTTACGTTTCTTTCTGTCACTTTCTCCTTATACGTTCGACTTACACTCCGATTTTTATTTTCACCAAGGTAAATATTGTACTTAAAATTGATAATCAATAAGTATTTCAATGTTCTTATATATATTATATATATATTTTTTTTTTTCGCAAAAGTATAATGCTCTCGCAAAAAAGTATACTCTCGTAAAGGTATGTTCCCGCAAACGTACTTTAATTGTATATTACATATTTTACTTTATTTAGAGAAACAATGCCTGTATGTGTTGTATAAAAAATTGTACCAATAACACTACTACGCGTAATAATACTAATAAGGAACAAGTAAAATATTTTACTTTTCCCAAAAATAATGCTCTTCGTGAACAGTGGCTTAATGTCTGTCAAAATAAATCAAATAAAAGAAACCGATATGAAAATTGATTTGGGTAAGTTAAAGTAATTTTTATATTTATTAATTCTATCATCTGATTATGTTAATATCATATTTATATAATACTTATAGCAAGAGTATGTAGTCTTCATTTTGACTGTTTTGAATTGGAAAAGACACAACCACGATCCAAAATTACACCAATAAAAGAAATTTTACGGTTAAAAAAAGACTCTATTCCAATTAAAAAGTTAATATTAGAAAAAAAAGAAAAGAAATAATATCGTCGCAGAATAAAGAAGACAATAAAAGAGTTAAAGTACTGTAGGTATTTTCTAGATTTTAAATATATTACCTTTACGTAGTATGTGTGTAGAAATAATTAAATAAATTTCTAGATTTTAAATATATTACCTTTATGTAGTATGTGTGTAGAAATAAAAATTAATAACTTTTGTGAAATAAGACCTATACAAGCCAACACAGATGTTGGTGTGTAATAATTTTTTACAATATCTAGCCACACGCAAACTATACGCGCGGTACAGGTCTTATTTCAATATAGTGGATTTATTCTTGACAAGCTTTGATGTCTAATAATTAAGTTTAAAATTTAATTTTTTTGAGTTGTGACAAGATTTCTGAAGCAAGGATGCGATATATTTATATTCTATTTTTTATATTTTCTATTTTATAATATCTATGAAAAATTTAATTATAAAATAGGGATTAATATACAGTGTGTAATATACAGTTTTATTTTAATTGGCCATCTTAAATTTTGTAAATGACGCATTAATGTAAAAAATGTTTTAGACAAAAGTTGTACGGTCTGAAGGAGGACAAATAATGATAAAATCAGTTTTCGAAAAAATTAATTTTATAGTTATAAAAGTTTTGTGCATTTTGTTAAATGAAATTATATGATTCTTTTACATAATATGAAAGTACTGAAGTAAAGATTATCAAAAAATTAATAGTTTATGAGATATATTGTATACTTTATTCTGTCACATTTTAATATAAAATATATAAAATAAAAAATATTTTGTAAATTATTTTTTTGTAACGGTACTTTAATATTTATATGCATAAAATAAGATATGCATAGAATGAGATGAATCAATTGGTGTAAAGAAAACACATATAGTTTAGGCAAAAAAGATATATAGTTATATATTGCAAATTGCATAATTTTTTAGTACAGTTACTAAAAAAATAAAGTTTTACAAAATATTTTATATTTTATAATAAATAACAATAAATAAAAAAGGCAAATTCGACTGAAGCTAGGTACGTGTTGATTGCTCAATAACATTCCTTATTTTTAAATCTTTAAATTTCAATTTTTATAAACTGCGCGCCGATTACTGTCGATCTTTAAAAATGCAATCATAAAGTTGAAATATTATTACAAATTAAATTGATCGTCAATTCGATGATGATGCTATAAGCACCTCAAATATTGTAAAGAACTTATTGCGAAAAATATTATCAATTCATTGCAATATATTTAATGCTTTGCAGCTGAAATTTAGATTTAAAAATTAATTAAGAATATTATTGGGCAATCAACATCTAATCTTGACTGAATTTGGCTTTTTTTCCTCTCATTATTTGTTGTATACACATACCGGCCCTATTTGAAATTATTTTATACTTTATCTTAAAATGTGATTAAGTATTATTAAATATTTCATATATAAATTTTTAATTTTTTGATAATTCTAATGCTTTTATAAGCAGAATAATTAGATGAATAAAAAAAATCATATAATTCTATTTAAAGAAGTAATCGATGATTTTATCTTGAAAAATTGTCTTTTTTAAAAATTGATTTCATCTCTTTCCTACAATACAATTTTTGTTTAGAATATTTTCTACGATAATGCATCATTTATAAGATATATAATTCAAGATAGACAATTAAAGTAAACATCGGAATTTTTATTAATTTTATTTATTATATTTATCATAAACATAAAGATTCTCACAAGAGACTATGTTCATTAATTAAACAAATTTAAAATAATAAATAAAATGAATGTGAATAATTATGTAATTCTTCAATAGAATGTATTGCAAAAATTTCTTTTGTACTAGAATAGTGCATAGATTTTTAGGCTTACTGTCTAGACAAATATTTAACATATACATGTACATACATACAACACAGTTTTTTTAAATGAGTAACAATAATTTAGGTAATAAGCTTGGAGCGATATATGTATGTCTGAATGCGCTGCTAGAAGACAGTGACCATCTCGTAATTTCGGCGCGTCTAACTGATGAAACCCGAGATTTTTTCGATAGCAAATTTGATATGATGAGAAAAACACCCATTTTCGTGAACGTAGTTCGCAGTGAAATTGTCAATACCGATGCACTTGTGAGAGCTCTTGCTGCAAATAAGATATTCGCTGCTGGTTTAGACGTTACTGATCCAGACCCGCTACCACAGAATCATATACTTCTGACATTACATAATGTCGGTCGGTAATCATTTTTATTTTATTGTTTTGTTATCACACACAATATCATCTACTTGAATGTTCAAAAACTCAATTATACTCTAGAGCTTATGTATTTTCTAAACGTTTAAGGAATATTATGTTATAATGTATTATAATTTACATGCATTATATTCATTATAATGTAGTACAACATAACGTCAATATTTTATTTTGGTAATTATAGAAATTACGCCACATTTGGGCAGCGCGACAATCAAGACTCGCGACAAAATGTCGAAAGTAACAGCGGAAAATATTATCCGCATGCGGCCTTAAGGGCGAGAATATGGAATATCCTCTCCTATCTCATTCTGTACCTCGCCTATACAATAACTTATTTTTTATATGTGTTGCACATTTCTTATATTTATTATTTTACCTACTATAAAATGTTACTAAAAAATAATTGTTTATTCATGATGTAATAAAATTCTCTGTGATTCATTTTTAGTTTAGACAAATTATCGATTAGTTACTCGAAGAATCCTAATCTCAATTTGATTATTTATTCACGCATAAAATTCATTCATTAAGTTAAATATATCGGTTGGGTAAATATTTTATTATAAAATGAGTTATCTGTAGATATTCCTAAAAATCTTTCTTATTAAATCCAATTAGGTATTTAATTCATTGTTATATTGGAATGATTTTATAAAAGCTGCTACGTAGAATATCTCCAAAAATTGTTCAATTGCATTAGTAGTATTTAATTTAATTGTCTTAAGTCTCGTGAAATCTTCAAAATTTGTTCTTCTATCTAAATATTATTAATTTTCAAAAAATTCTTAATAATTTTTTATTTATGAACTATACGAAAATAAATATGTGCATGCATTTATGTATATAATAGAAGCATAAAACGCGAATGACTTCACAATGGTAGTTAACGAACAAAAAAAGTACGAAAAAAGTAAAGATTAATAATTCTTTTGATAATTTTGAAGATGATTCACGTACACCTTTGCAGAAACTATTGGATTAGTAAAAAAATTATTATAATAAATTATTATACAGAGATCGTCAAAAGTTCCGGGCCATCTAAATAATTTCTAAATGGTTCGAGATATTGGATTGAAATTTATAGGGTTACAATGGCATTATGAAATCTATCATTTGAACCTTAAAAACACCCACTTCAACCATCCGGGGAGGGGAGGAGGAAAGTTGAAAATCTTAATTAATGGCAAATGTGAGGTCGAGTGAGGGCTCGTTTGAAAGAGCTTTTTGAGACGAGAAAAACGCGAAGTCATTGAGGTCTCTACGATTTTTTTTTTGCAAAGTTATACTCATTTGAACATTGGTGTTATTTAATGTTAGCAAGGGCTCTTAATTGGCGAGGATGTCAGGAAGAAGAAGGTTTCGCGCATGTTTCTAAGTGGAGGATGTATGTGTGTGTGTGTGTGTGTGTGTGTGCTGTCTCTTATACACAT